GACTGGGGGAGGAGCAGAGATAGGGGGAGGGGATATCAAAGATCTCACTCGAGAAGTCTTAAGTCCTCCTGGAAGGAGTCAAACTCTGCAGGGCAAAGATTGTGGGGGAGGGGTATGCAAACAATTCCAGTGACGAACTGCCAATGCCTCTTAACCATCTGGACCACCTGGCAGGTGGAACTCTGGCCCCCTTTTTCAGAGGTGACAAACTGAGGCCTGGGGACCATCTTTGCTACAAAAGAACATACCTCCAGTGCCAACGGCCGTGCCAAGAGCTTAGATTGTGGCACCTTCTGTAGCAATGCATTTTCTCACAGAAGACCTTAGGCTGTCTGAGAGCTACCCATTGTACAGAGGATAAAACTGAGGCCTGATTGCATCAGTGAACGGCAGTGTACTACTCCAGGGCTTTACTCTCTCATCAACCCACCCAGAATCCAGAATGTGCGTGTGCAGAGCCCCCAGGATCCTGTCCTCCAATCCTCTTTTCCGACAGTCTGGGGTCTGAGTTGGGGATCCAAGCAACAGGAGTGGAGGGTAGCTTTTGAGCAAACAAAGTGAGGACTCCTGAGCCACGCTCAGAAGCTTTTACCCCTCTGGATGGTTAGGGACATGGAGAGAGAGGGTCCAGGCCTCTAAGGGAACCCCTCTGTAAGGGAAGTTAGAGCCCTTTCTCTCTCTGGGCACACCGCTGGGGGCAGGGCTGAGACTCAAACCTCCGGGCTGGAGGTGTCCCTGGAACTCTCATCTCAAGCACCCCCTAAACCTCCGGAGAGGCCAGGAGCCCTTCTATCTTGGGCACTGCATCGGGTGCTGACCGACAGGAGGGGAGTGAGGCGCCCGGGCCAGGAGGGGTCGCGAAACCCAAGCAGTGGCCAAAAATAATAACACGGAGAAGGCGCAGAAAAAAAGGAAGACAAAGTATGCGTCGCTCCGGGCAGCCGGCGTTACCTGGAGTCGGCGGGCGGCGGCCGCCGGAGCTATTACTCACTGCGTGGCGCACCCCACCCGCGGGCCGCTGAACTGATTTTTCCGTGGGGAGGGGTGTCAGTGAGTCGGGGTGGGCCTCCTCACCACTCTCCTCGTGGGTGCCCTTCCCGTCCCGCTTGCGGGACCGGGGCAAATACCCGTCCCCGCTCCCACCAGGTCCCATTTCTCCCAGTCTGTCCGCGCCGGAGCTCCCTCCTAAGGCCCCCAGAGCCCCCTGAGGAACCTCAGCCCTGTCCTGCGTGAAGGGGACAGCTGAGCCAGGGCAGGGCCGGGGATTCCGTTGGCTTCCAGCTTTTTCTCAGTCTTCCCTCCAGCAAAGCCTGGGACCGAGGCTGCGCGCGGAGGACCGAGGAGAGGCGGGATGAAGTGGGAGGCGGGGGGCACTGGGCCGAGAGCGGTGGGATCCGCGCGCCCAGGGCGTGGGGCTGGGGGGTACGACTCTTGGGCCCCTGGGGAAGAAGGAGGGGTGGAAATGGGAGCAGGCGGGTCTCAGGGACCACTCAGTGG